CAATTAAGCAATACTTGCATTAAAAATTTAAGATAAAGGATTTGGGAAACTTGAAGTATTTTTTGGGAATAAAACTAGAAAGATCTAAACAGGGCATAGTCTTAACTCAAAGAAAATATACCTTAGATTTGATTTCTGATATGGGATTAAGTGGGGCTAAGCCACTTAGTATCCCAATAAAGCAAAATGTGCATTTGTGTGCAGAAAGAAGTGTTACTGATCAAAAGGAAAAAAAGAAGGGAAGAACCAGATCCTTTTTTAAAGGATCCAACTTCTTATAAAAGATTAATAGGTAGGTTGTCTTATCTTATTATCACTACTCGTCCTGACGTAAGCTTCGTTGTGCAGAATTTGAGCCAATTTATGAATGCTCCACGAAAATCTCACATGAAAGCTGCTATATAAGTAGTGAGATACCTCAAAGGATATCTAAGAATGGGAATATTACTTTCTGTATCTTAAGGAAATACTTTGGAGTGTTTTGTAGACTTTGATTGGGGAATCTCTGGTGATACAAGAAGGTCAATTACAGGCTATGTGGTGAAGTTTACTAATTTGCTGATCTGTTGGAAAATCAAGAAACAAAACACTATTTCTAAATCTTTAGCAGAGGCTGAATACCAAGCACTAGGATTAGCTACTGCAGAAATTGTTTGGGTCACTAGGATGCTTAAAGATCTCGGGTTGCATGGTGTTGAACCAGTCCAAGTATTTGTGATAGTCAGCAGCGATTCATATCATTAACAATCCATTTTTCATGAGAGGACTAAACATATAGAAATAGATTGTCATTTGTTATAGAAAAATTGCAACAAGGTTTGATTGTCTTGTAGCATGTTAGGACCAAAAAGCAATTGGCTGATGTATTTACTAAAGCTCTTGGTAGAGAGGATCATGAAAGGATGTTGTACATGTTAGGAACCATAAATTTATATGGTACCAAACTTGAAGGGAGGTGTGAGAAATAATTAGTATTGGTTTATTAGTTTGTTAGTTATATTTTATTATTTGTGTTGCTTGTTATATGTTGGTCTGTTGGTCTATGAGATATAAATACACCTATTATATGAAGTGTTTTTTGACTCAAAAGGAATAATAATATTTTGATTCTTTCATAGTTTGGGCTCTACAAAACTTCACAGTTTATCTGAAGGATTTAATCTAATATACTCCTTCTCATCTATATAAGATCCTTTTGATTAATTTACAAAAAATTAAGAGAATCAGTTAAATTAATTATCAATAATGAATATATTAATAATCAAGGGAAATGTATTAATGTGATATCTTCACTAATGGCTTTTTAGTATATTTAAATTTAGTGCTGATGAGCATCCTAGATATTAAGTTATTACATGAATAGCATCTTAAATCTTGAATTTTTAAAATATATTAAAACTTCTCTCAATTTCTAAATTTTGAGTACTTAGTCGCACACTGATGTGAAGTCTAATCACACACTAATGTGATACTAATCTTGACCCTAAAAAATAATGGCTATTTTCTCTAACAATAAGGTTTTAAGGGCTTGAAATTTAAAAGTTGAGGGGAGTTTTTATATATTTCAAACATTCAAATTTTGAAATGTTATTCACACAATATTTTAAAATTTAAAATGCTCAGTAACCCTTAAATTTAAACATTGGAAGAACTAGAACAAAGTGCTTGAAAGGGTTTTAACTTTTATGGATGGGATGATAAAATTATGGGAAGATATAGTAACTTATAATTTTATTTCATTAGTTTCCGGTTGGTCAATAATGTTAGTCTCTATAATTTTTACAATGTGCATAAGGATTATGAGCTAAAAACCAATAGAATTAATTTTAATGACATGTATTTAATTATGGGAGAATGACAAAATAAATATCTTCAAAATAGGGAGATAACAATTTAATTTCACAAAATGTGATAAATGCCTTATGGGTCTTAAGAAAATTAATTGTCATTAAATTTTTTTAATAAAATGACAAAAATACCCCTTAATTTAAAAATTGTAACAAAGTTTTTCATTCACAATTCTAATCAACAAATAACGAAAGTATTTTAGACATTCACAACTTTATCTCATCAATTTTTTTTTAATTAGAAAAGTGAAACAGTTTTTTTTATTCACAATTTTGATTCTGGAATTCACAGGCCTAATTCAGTAAATCACTTAAGTGTTTTAAGCATTTATAACTTTTTCTTACTATTTTTTTATTTTTAAATTAAGAGGTATCATTGTTATTTTTTTTATTTCAGAGAGATTTATGTGTCCTTCTTCCTTTAATTATTGTATATTTTTTAAAATATTATTTTAAAAGTTTTTGAGCTTTTCGCTCATTGTTTTTGCTGAAGCGAATCCATGTTTCTTCTTCCTTGTCAAATACCAACACAGGCCCCCACCCAACATTGCCTTTATGAGATAAATATCAATCTTGAGTGGCTGAGTCTTGATTGATTCATACAATTATCAAAGAACCTGTTGGCTGCCTACAATGCACGAAAGATCTATTTATAACCAAAAAGAAATTATTTTCTTCATCCAAATTAAGGATTTTTAATCTTTCTTAAAAGGGAGACATTTTTATAGGAAAGTGATTATCAGAGAATAAAACAAATCCCCATTCAGTCATTCCCTTACATGAGGCTCTCTCAAGTAAAACATAAATATATATTTTCTGAAAGAAATAGTAATAAGAACATCATAATTCTTATTTAAATTATCAATGATATTGTTTCTTAATATTTTTAAATGCTCGTATAGTTTTAAAATAAGCTTTTTTTTTATATGAAATCTTAATAAACTGATTGATTTTATTTTATGACATTCAAGAGTAATTCTTTCTTACAGATTATACAGGGTCTACTTTCTAAATTATACAGAATATAGAATTGGTTTTCGCAGTTGCTGATTTGAAATGCCATTGTCTTGTGTTCAACGTTTTTCTTCTCGTAAACGTTATCAGGACACCTTCTGCCATGAGAACATATGTGTTGACTGCTGGCATTGAAGTATCTTGTTGGAACTATCATTATATATATATTGTTTGTACTAATTAATTAACAATAGTCAAACTATTCACGAAAAAAAATTAATAATAGTCAAACTTCTTGTTAAATTATTTATTTTTTGCATTGACATTGAAAAGCAGTCATCCTCTTTGTGTGTGAACAATAAATATCCAAATGTGCTGGAGATGCTAAGTTTCAATTAATAATAAAAAAGTCTCAAATTTTTTTTATTACAGTTCATTTGAATATAAAAGATACGCTAGACTTGATAAAATAAATTTTTTTTATTTTTATTAAAATGTGAAAAGATTACAAGTCTAAATCAAAAGTAAAAACTAATTGCTGCACCTAAAAAGTTATGAGTGCAGAATGTGAGTCTTTGTTGAGTGTTGACTGTCTTTTTTTCATATTTTGTATTATATTTATAATGTCAAAGTGATGGTAGCCTCTCCTTTAAGACCTAGAACGCTCTGCTAAAAAATCAGGAATCTCACGAAACTCATGACACATTCTTTACTCAGTGTTTTCCATTTTTGGCAACCTGTCCATCTTACCGAGATATTTGGGCATGATAATACTACTTCCGTAGATTCTAAGATCACTTGAGATCGTGTCTTTATATGCCAACTGTCCAATGTTGGCAATTGGCGAAATTTCAGCATGTTCACCCTATTGTGGCCTTCTATTGAACTCGAAGTTGGTTCCTTTATTTAAATTGAACCTGATTCTTTAGTAACTCAATTCAAATAACTTTACAACCTATTGAGCGAGGTTTTATATTTTAGCCCAAACACATCCTTACACTAAAAACTTATTGCCTCAATTGTTAAATATAGGAGAATTAAAATGCACTTAATGCTTCTTAAAATTTATAAATAGTTGCTTATAATAATTATATTTAGAATTAAAATATTTGGACTAAAATGCCAATGTAATTAATGCTTACTTTTTTCTTTTAATTAATAATATTATTCATTTATGAAGGGTAATTTGATAATAATGTAATTAATACTTCTTAAAATTTATCATTTTGCGTATAATAAAAAGCAAAGAAACACAGAGTAATTTCTTTTATATTTGAAAACAGAGTAGAATGCTTCATTGTTTTTTTATTTTTGTTTACCAACAAAACTACAAATTTTTAGAAGTATTTATTACATTTCTCTTAAATTGCCCCTCATAATTAAATTAATTTTTTTTTTTCAAGATAAATTTATTTAATTAATATTAAATATAATTTAGCCCAATTTTTTAATTTAAGACATAGTTGTCATATTTAATCAACTTTCTTAAATTATGGGGATTCATTTTTTTCTTATATTTGAAAATGGAATAGTATCATATTATAAAACTTATCCTTTTCCCATACTTTAAATTATATGTAAATAATTTATATGATATTTCAAAATTTGATACAAAATCTCTTAAATTTTTAAATGTGTGTAGGTAATTCTGTCTCTATGTTATTTTACTTTAAAAATACTACACAACAAAGAAATCATTTTTATATAACTTATTACGAAGATGTAAGGAAATTATTTGCATATTGCTCAAAATTTAATAATATTATTTGAACAAAATCATAATTTAAAAAGATATATAAGACTTTGTATAATATACGGTGTTCGATTAGTGAAATAATAAAATAATTAATCATAAAGAGATTTTCTATTAACTTAAAAAGTTCAGGAGTTTTTTGTGGTCAATTTTTTAACCTTGGGGAATTTATTTAAACATTGCTTAGAAATCCGAATTTCATCATCAATAAATTTAGAAATCCCCAGTATTGTGTTTGCAATAAATATTTCATGATATGGTCATTGAATGCAATTTTGGTCAAAAATAAAACTCTATCCATAATAAGAAAAATATTAAAGTGTTTACTTTTTGTTGAGGACAGGGTTGGTTGGCAAATCCATCAGAAATTACGTGCCAAACAGAGAAACGACCTCGTTTTGACGCCGTATTTATTTTCGCTTTATAAAACAAGAGGCGCGGTTGGTCTGAATTCTGAAAGCACTCTCCGTCGTCACTCCGTTTTCCCCTCCATTGCCATTGAAGCTCGAGGAGCTCGTGTTCCCTCACTGGTCACTACAATGGTAAAGTTTTCACCTTTTTCGCTCAATTCTTTGTCTTCTTTTGATTAATCGTTCGATGCGATGATCTTCTATGATGGGCTTTGTAACGCCACCTGATTCTTCTTCCTCTGCACTTGCTTGTTCATTCTTGAAAAACAATGTCTTCTTTCTTTTGTGTCTTTGTGTGTGCGCTTTCGTGTCTAATCAAAGCGTTCGTTTTGAAATTACCCATTGTTGGCTATTTTCTTCTGTTTGAAAACCAGCACCTCCACTTCTCGGGGAGAAATCATCTGTAAACGTCTCCATTTAATCTGCATGTTCTTCGTTGCTTGTGAAGAATTCTGCGGGGAATAATTCTTTCTTTATGAACATCAAAGTATTTTTTTAAATGATATTTCTGCGTCTTCTTGTTGAATAAATTAACTGTAAAGTTTTGCTGCTAATGGTTATTTTTGCCCTTTTTATTTGCTTTCCCCATGTTCTGTGTGTTCATTTGCCTTCATTGTAACATTGTGTGCGGACACGCTTCCTGAATTCCGGTATCCAGAAGGATCGATTTTCAGTCATTTCCTTTCATGTTTGGCCTTGAAAGTAATTACACGAGAAACTAAGGTTTTGTCCTTGTCCTCTTGCAATTCAATGATACTGATAAGCGGCTCCATTAAACCCTTATGGGTTTTTCTTTCATGGAAGAAACAGATGTACCAGTCATTGAGAATAAATGTCTGGGTCATATATCTTCTGTTTAGTGTCAGAAACCAAGCGAAAATGTCCAAGCCCCAACTGTTTTTGTCCGTGAAAACATTATCAATAGCTGTTAGTATTTTGGCATCCCCGGATCTCTTAGAGAATGGAAGTTTTCAGTATGTAGCCTTTTTTTTTAGTATATAGTCTTTTCATGGAGGAAATTTGTAGCAGTAGATGAAATTATGTACTACCTTTTTGGTTGATAGTCTATTGACTTTTGTCTCTGTATCTTCTTGAACCTTTTGCCAACCTGATTTTGAATTGATCTCTGATAATAAATTGGTTTGCAAGATTCATTAATCTCCCCAACAGACGGAACCAGAGGGAGTAAGAAAAAAACTGAATGGGGAAGTTTTCAGTGTATAGCCTTTTTTTAAAAAGGATCGTTTGGTTGGGGTTGAGTATGAAAATTTATCTTGCTTGGTTCATTAAAAGTCTTAACTTCTCATGATGTTAAAGCTCACAACTAGGGGAGTAATTTACCGAGCATTATCTTGATAAGTTCTACTTCCCTATTATTTTGTCTTTCAAATCAAAAGGATAATTATTTTTAAAAATTAAAAAATTGTGACTTCTCAAGAAATAAGGAAGTATAGAAGCAATTATACGTTAACTTCAATGGTATGGAAAGTTAATTTTTCAATAACTCATATTTGTTAACCAAGCGAGGCCTAACTTTCTCGAATCTCATATTTTGAATTTCAAAATATGAAAAAAATAAGTTCTATTTCAAAATATGAAAAAATAAGTTCTATGAATTTGTAATTAATTAGTTCGTCAATCAATTGTTTCATTAATTTTGAACCAATATAAATTGGTCAGTGCATTAATTGGCAGTCCAATCAAAAAACTGTCAACCCTTTGTAACAGAGAAATAGAAACACAGGAGTAGGACCTACACAAGGATGGCCCACCAAATCCCACATCACTATGTCTATTTCCTTCTCAAGTGCACACATTTCTTAGCCAAATGGATATATCTAAGGATACAAGAACTCTGCTTTAAAAAAAAAATTAAACAAATATAACAGTGTGGATTGAGTTAGAATTTACTTGTCTAATATTGTTGTGGCCAATGTAACTGAGATATTGACTTTTCACAGACAACTTCAAGACGTGTTGCTGACAGGAAAGTTGCAAGGTTCGAGAGGAACATTGAAAAGAAAACCCTCATCCAAGAAAGGATTCCCTGTGGGCCCTGTAGTTCTTGCCTTCATTATTTTTGTAGTCGTCGGTTCATGTATGCTCTTTCTTTACCTTCGAATTTTCTTTGATACTATTTATAAATTATTTTTATTATAAATTTTAACCTCATTATACTATAAATGGGACTAAAATTAATCATCTCTCCTTGTGTTATAAAGAGGACAGGAGGAGTATTTATTATTATATTTGGCTCTAATTTTTTCTTCTGATTTCTCTCATTACACTCATACTCTTTATCACTTTATATCTCTTTTTTAACTATATTGGATATACGGATTCATTTTGGATGATAAGCTATGTGTCTCTTTTCATGTATGGCAGCTCTGTTTCAGATCATTAGGACGGCTAAGAGTCGCGGAATGGCATAAGCACTGAGGATTATGAATTTGTATCTTTATGGACAAGTACAATGGGAACAGCTTTACTATTATAATAGTTCAACCATGGTAGAGTTTCGTGTTAGAGTGTATGGAGTTAAAAAAATAGGTCACACTGATCACTACTTGTGAACAGTGCAGCTTCATACATGTTAATAATTTATATATGATATTAAATATTAATATATGTATGACTGAGGTCATACAAGTGCCTAGTTCTTCGTAATTCTTCTAAATTTGTTTATTATAAATATATTCTTTTCAATCCTATTTATAAGATGTAAGATAGAAAGAGATTTTTTTTTTGTTCTATTTATAAGTAATGTTATTAAATTTTTATTATAAATTTTTTCTTTTTACCAATATTAAATGTTAATAAGAAAAGTACATTATTAATTATGCATATTTAATAAAAATTTAATTAAAAATTTATTAAATTTTTAGATAAATTTAATAAATTTTAACTTCTAATCTTTTTTTTAGTTTTAGTAAAATATATTGGTACTAATTTATAAGTAAAACTAGGGAGAGACATATAATACAAATTTCAGTCATAGTGAAATGGATACTTACAATATTCTAACTGAATTTAATAGTAAATAATAGAATTTAGTGCAATGGTTTACTCCTTTCGCCATACATGAGAAGTTTTTGAGAATTTTTTATCTCTAAATAAGTGATAGTTAGGATTTTTCTTTTAATGAATGAACCATTGTATTTATTATATTAAAAAGAAAAAAAATAAATATTCATAAATTTACTTTGAAAAAATATATTGATTTTTTTATTTATAATAATTAAGGATAAAATTAAAATATTGCTATATTTTTAAATAAATAATCAACTTTTATTGATTTACGTAATTTGATTTAAAAACATCTTATATATAAGAATGTATATGTCTATTTTTATGATATTGAAAATTGGGTCAATCTAATCTATCGAATTAAAAAATTGTTAAACCAATCTTGATGAATTCAATAAAATATTTTGTTTATAACTGGTCTGATCATTATTGAATTATGATTTTGATCATTAATTGATAAATTAATAAGTTGATTAGTTCTATGATCAAGGGCTTGTAATACCTTGACATTTTCAATTACAAGTGCTGTGGATGAGTAGAAATTTTAAATACCCATTTTCTTTTTTAACTTTTAATTCAAATATATCCTTAGTTCCATGTTATTTATATCACTATGATCGTCTGGCGTAAATTATGGAATCATATTCCCTCCCATGAGGGAATCCTCCACTGTACCTCTGCCTCTGAACTTCCCAAATTTAATGTTTTAAATTTTCATTTTATTAAAAAATTATAAAAATTATAAATTTTTAAATAAATTTTATTAATAGTTTGGATAATTCAGATTTAACAAATATGCTCCAAATTCAATATAAAAAATATATACAAATTATAAAAAATTTAATATTAAATTTGCATCACTTGAAATATATTTAGATAATCAAGTTATAAAAATTAAAAGAAATTTTAATAAATTTTATCATTAGTTTATTCATTCCAATTTAATATAAATAATCAAAATTTAATACTAAAAAAATTTATCAAAAATTATAAATTAATATTAAATTTACATTGTCAAAAATATATCCAAATAATTAATTTATAAAAAATTTTAATACTAAATTTAAACTATCATACAAATGATCAAATTTTTAAATTCTCTTATAAATTTTATAATTTTTAATTTTAATAACTGAAAAATTAAAAATTAGAATATTAAATTTAAAAATTTGAACAATCCAAAATTTCACTATCCTTCGACGGAGGGATAGTGGACAATTATTTTCTCCTTGAGAAACTCCGACTTAGTAAATTATATGATTTAAACTTTAAAGTTGAAGTGCTTCAATGGATAGTGCTTATTATTATTAGTTGCAATGAGGGGTAGAAATAAGTTTGAGGCCTACAGCCTAACTTATTTTAAACTTAATTTAACCTATTTACTAAATAAACTCAAATCAAATTCAGGCTTTTAATTAAGTTTATTTGGTTAAATAAGTCAAGTCTATTTTTTTAAGGTCTAACCTAGAGCTCAATGAGGGGTAGAAATAAGTTCAAGGCCTATAGCCTAACTTATTTTAAACCTAGTTTAACTTACTAAATAGACTCAGATCAGATTCAAGCTTTTAATTAAGCCTATTTAGTTAGGCCTTTGTGTGCGTGCGTGCGTGCGTGTGCGTGTGTGTGTGTGTTATGTAATACTGAAAATGTAAGGCATTTATAATCGAATCTCACCCCCCAATAAAATAGTTACTTACTTTTAAACTAACACTATTTTTTTATATTTATCTATATTAAATATCTTATAATAAATATAAAGTCAATATCAATAGAGGTATTTTGAAAAAATAATAATAATTACATCTTAAAAACTAAAAATGCCTTACATTTTTTAACGGAGGGAGTATATCACAAGTACATTAGTTTACCATTTAATTTTTAATCAATTTATTCTTTTCTTTTATTTCTAGTTATATTTTCAATCATATTAAACTTATATATTTATCTTAATATTATTACTTTATTGTTATATTATATTATAGCTTGTAAGTCCTTTCAATTATTATATATTATATTTTATAATAGTCATAAAGTATATTTAAAATGTTTAAAATTAAAATACAAGTCTATTTAAAATGCTTATTTTAAATAAACTTTCAAGCCAATTTAAGCTTTAAATAAGCTCAGGCTTGAATTGTTAAAAAAAAAAATTATATAAACTTCAAGTCAAGCTCAAATATCTAATTTATCACACAAACATTTATTTAATCAAAGCTTAACTCAACTAACTTATTTTCACCCTTAATTACAATGCAATCAGTGTCTTAGCATATTAACCCCCCGAAGTCTATTTTCAAGCAAAGAGCATCATCACAAGCCACCACCGGTCAAAAATTATTTTTACCACAATGAACAGAACACAAAATTGGAATAAATAATTTGAATTTTGATAAGGTTTTAAAAAAAACATCCTAGTTTACTCTACGTATAGTAATAACAAACAATTCATTCAGTTCAGCTGAAATTCAAATGAAGTATCATTTTCTTAGTCTAAATTTATAGGCGTTGGTTAGCTACTAGCTACAATCATTTCCAACTTTGAAGCTATATTGGGATTTATTATTGATTGTTGATGATTACTGATTACGTGGCCTCATTCTTGTCCTTACTCTCATCACATATGCCAAAAGGAAGAATCTACTCTTTAAATATTTGAGTCTGCCGCTTCTGAAATACACAGGTTACGAAGATGACAAGGAACAAATGCAAGAAATCTCAAAAAAGAACTTGAAGCTAGGACGACTTATATCAAAAGTTTGTGATGATTCATGTAGCTTCTGTAGGTTGATTTGCTCTCATCGGATCTTCGACTACCTTTGGTTGTGATGTCTCTTTTGGTGGAATTCTGGCAACAATCAGAGCTTTTGGATAGCTTCCTACCATAACGATCAAAGTCCGTCACTGGATACACTTGAATCTCATCATCCTCAGAGAAGCTCTCATCATGTAAAGATCCTGAGCCTGTACACTCAAATTCCTGGAGGAATATGAACACACTTAATGAGAAGCTGACTGGTATGGAAGATGAAAGAATACGGATGGCTCCGGTACAAGGGAAGTTTAATTTCCAAGCACTTAGAAACCTTCAATAACAAAAGTTTTATACCCTAGATCTTGACTTAGCATTACGAGGTGTTAAACAGGGATTTAGATCCTTCAGTAACAAGTCATCTGGACTTCCAGGAGTTGTTAAATCCTCAGAGCTGAGTTCCTGCATAAAATGTCAAGAGGATTAAAGAGCACATCTTTTTGTATTTGCAGTATCTTTTTTCAATCTTTAGAACCACTACTGAAATTAGTTGCAAATTATGAAGCAAAAACACATACAGAAGACATTGCATCATTGTTGGATTTTTGTTGAGTATTCGAATTAGACATATGACTCTACCTACATGATTCCTTAAAATTCTCATGACTCAATATTTTTGTCTGTGAGTGACATTTAGTTTGTAAACAACAACAGTGATAAACCTTATCCACTAAGTAAGGTCAGTTACATGAATTAAACAATGTTATTGTGCTCTATCATTGACAAGTCTTTGGAAATATTCACAATTTTCAGTTAATGTTCTCACCCAGTAAACTTACCCAAGAGTTAGTAGCATCATGTGTTGGTGTTCTTGGAGAATTTCCGTCCCCTTGAAAGCACAACTTTGCTGAACGTTTATCGGCCTTGACCTAGCAAGAAAAAAGCAATAAAGATTCCATTACCTCAGGCTCAAGTTTCTGATAATAACGACACATTCTTGCAAGTTTATGACGAAATAATGAAAATATCATCATGTTGTCCCAATAGTATGCATACAGATAGATAAATACCAGTCCAAGCAAATTTCAATGTCCAGTCTGTAAGTTTAAGCTAACACTGAAAATATCATGCTTTCATCTCAGTGGCATGCATACTGAGATTAAATATCAATGCCAGTAAATTTCAATGTCCAGTTTTGTAGTAGAGAACATCAAAGCACGATGTTAAAAATAAATGTTAACCTAAATGCAAGATACGACCTGATGGAATGCAAATGAAATTATACCTCTGCCACATCCTCTGCTAGGCTTTGGAGCTGACCAGTGAGGGAAGAGACTTGCATTTGTAGAGCTGGAATGACCAGTTTTGCCTGCCTCAGCTCAGAGCCTTGCTTCTCTAGAAGTTCTTGGAGCTGAGAATTCATCACATCAGGGAACAGAATAGCACTTTTAAGTGACTTGATTTCTTCTCTTTGATTCAAACACAAATCCTTCAACTTCTCCACCTGCAATTTCAATCAAGGGGTGACTTTAGATGATAACACAAATATGATTCCCCCCTGCTTGAACTACATGGATTCCAAAGAATACCGAACGTAAACAATTTTTGCATAATTAAGCACACTTGTTAGTTACTCTAATCTAGGACTTTTCAAAGTCCAACATTATCAAATCAAACTAACCCCACAAAAAATCATCAAAATCAAACCAAAATTAAGCTAGTTATTGCAGCTAAGGGTTAAAAATTAGTAGCTCATCCGAGTAAGTTTGAATCTCCAGATATTAGTTTAATCTCTTCGATCAAATAAGGGCATGGTAATAACAAAGGCTTTTACACAGGTTAATTAAATCCTGGTTAACATTCAAACATGCTGTTTCCTAGAATAAACAAAGTTCAAATCAACTTACTTCTTTATTCTTCTCCTCAAGCATTAATTTCAGCTCGGCAATCTCGGTCTCCATTTCCTTGTTCATATTCAATAGCTCCCTCTCACTCCGTAGCACCATCGCCAGCGTCCTTGTGTTCCCCTTCACCTCCGTCAGGGCCTTCACCTCCTTCCCCTTCGTCTTCTCCGATGACGACGCCGGTTTTCCAAACAGCTTCTTCTGTAACGCCGACAATCCCGTGGCCCTCCTCGCATTCTTCTTCAAATCCTCGGCAATAATATCCGAGGGAATCAGCAATCCAGCCGTCTGATTTCCGCCAGACTTAGGCTTTGTCAAAGCCGATTTCTTCTCCATGAGCTTTCTCACCATTGTAGTCAAGCTGGGGTCTGTTTTATTACTCTTGCTTCTAGTCCTAGCTAGATCGGAGGGTTTGGCTCTAACGAGAGCACGAGAAGATGAACCAGAGGATTTGTGGCTGAACTCAGAGGAGGAAGAGGGGTCGGAGAAGTGAGACGAAGTGGTAGAAGAGCGTGAATCGTAGGTACTATAGCGGGCGGAAGGCTTGATGACGGAGGCCATTGGGGATTGATTGAGGCTTCAGTTTCAGTTTCAGTGAGCAAGAACGGAAGAGAGGGAAGAGATTGATTGATTGTGTTTTCGAGTTTGGGAAGCACCGAGATGGAGTTGAGGTTTTAGTCGTCGGATGAGTACACGTGTCATACGTTGGCGCATTGCCTCCTTGAGCGCTGTCCGAATTCGAATTTTTCACGTGAATGGCGCGGGCTCCCTTGTTTTTTGATTTTGTTTCATTTCCAGGAAATCCAAGTACTGCACCTCCCACTATTAATTATCAGAGGGTTCAGGTGATAATTTTGTTCTCCTGTAAATTGTTCTCATGTTTGTTTCTTGAACGAGATATTATTCTTAAATTTAAAAATAAAAAAGATACTCGTCCTTAGTTATAGGGTAAAGAAAAAAAAATTTATTCTATTTATAAATTACGTCATTAAATTTTTATCCTCATTTTTTTATTTTTTATTAAATATTGAAGAAAAAATATGTTATTAAAATATATATATTTAATAAAAATAAAATTAAAAATTTATTAAATTTTAAGATAGAGTTAATAAGTTTTAAATATTTTTTTAATATTAGTGAAATATGTTAAAAGTGATTTTTAAATAAGATTAGAGAAATAACATACAAACTTATTTCACCCTCCACCACCTCCATTAATCAAGGTTAGGGATATTTATTTTTCATGATTTAATGAGTGTTTACAAATGATAGTGTTGAGAGAACTAAAACTAGGTTCATTGGTCCAACCAATTTAATTAAAAATTGATCACATGTCTAGTCTGATACAATTGAAAAATCACGGAAAGAATATATCAACGGATTTGAATTGGTCAAAGCTGGTCTTTTTTTTTTTTTCAGCTTTAGTCAATTTCTTAAGGTGATTTTGTTTCTCTCTCTCTATTTGATTTATTCTATCCGTTAAAAAATATAAAATATTTTTAATTAAATATTATTCTTTAATAAAATAATTATTTATTTTTTAACTAACCAATCTTTTTATATTTACTCTTATGAAATACTCTACAATAAATATAAAGTTATTATTAATAGAGACGCTTTAAAAAAAATAATTATTACACTTTAAAAGATTAAAAATACTTTATATTTTTTAAATTGAGGGAGTATGTATTTAGTCAATCATTCTTTTCTCAATGCACAATGCTTATTTGACACCACACACATATAGGATGAAAACAATGGAATATTGCCCTTCTTCTTTGCATACATTATTTTTGTTTGGGATTTAAATATTCACTTTTATTATTATAGATTATTACTCCTTTTTTATTTCAAGCGTATATTATTTAAGATTATAAATTTGTTCATGACTAGTCTTATTATAATTCAACAATGATTTAATTATCGAAGTATGAATCGATGTCTTAGTCAAATGGCCACTCCAACCTTCTTAACATGTACTATAAATATAAGTACTAACTAGTAGAATAACGATATACATAGGATTAAAAAAAAACAGAGAAAAATAATGATATGTACTTCCTCCATTCCTATATATAAAAAGTTTTTTAGAATTTTTTTTCTCTAAATATAAAAGGTTATTAGCATTTTTTAATGAATAAATTATTATATTCTTATTAAATTAAAAAGAGAAAAAACGTACTCTCATTAATGTATTTTGGAGAAAAAAATTATTTTTTTATTTATAATAATTAAGGACAAAATTATAATGTTATTGTGCTTGTAATTAAATAATTAACTTTTATTAATTTGTATAATTTAATTAAAAACATCTTATATGTAAAGATGAAAAAAATATTATTTAACCAGTGGTTATTATTGATCATTGGTCATAGCAAGACAAAATGCCCACTTCTTATAAATAAAGGTGAGAATAATTAGGGCCCCTATTAAAAATATACTTTTTGACTTACTTCAAACCTAGCTTATCATATTTATTAAATAGATTTAATCAAAATCAAGCATTTAATTAGGCCTATTTACTAGGTTTAGTTTTTTAAGGTTTAACTTACAAGCCCAACAGACGAACTTATTTACACATGGAAATACATTATGTCATATATCACACAAACATTAGTTTCATAATTTGATTTTTAATCAATTTATTTTTTTAATTATTTTTTTAATCATATTGAACTTATATATTAATTTTAATGTTATTACTTTATTATTATATTGTATCGTAGTTGGTAAGTCTTTTTAATTATTATATATTATAATTAATAAATTATATTATATATTTATATTAATAGTCCTAAAGTATATTTGATACATTTAAAATTAAAGTATGAGCTTATTTAAGAGACTTATTTTTAAACATGTTTTTAGTACATGCCAAACTTTAAGTAAGCTTAGATTTAAACTGTGAGAAAAACCTTATATAAACTTAAGCCTCTAACTTACCACATAGATTTAGGCCTATTTGATTAAAGTCTAGCTCAGTCTAGTTTATTTTTACCCCCATTTATAAGTTTTTAAAAAATCACCATAGCGCCGACATATATAATTTAGATCTAGAGTTATAATTATAACTAGAAATAAAACACCTTCCAGCAAGTTGTTCAGCGGCATAGCATTAATGTGCGCTCAGACCACAAAGAAAGGGAATTTTTCTGTGGCATATACTCCTTCTCTCATTTTCTTCCGTTCTCTGTTTTCTTCTTGTGTGATTCCATTTCTGGTTTAATTCCATGAAACTCTTCCTCCCACCATAAACAGACAGATCCTATGAATAGAGGATTATACGTTTGAGCAAATCTTGCTAAATCTAGACATGTACCAGAATCAACATACACAATTCAAACCTTACCACAAAGAATTCAACCCCGAACAATCAAATTGGATCTTGTACAAAACACCTTGTGCTTGTGTTCTTGTCAATACATACACCTCAGGACTAATCAAGTGCACCCTGCTAGAGTCATTCAAAAAGTATAAATACGGGCAGGTGCATCTTATGCAACACGGTATGATACAGTGTTACCTTTTATGTACGTAAGACTTGATTAACTAGATAAATGCATCACTTTTCAAGGCACCAATGCAATTTTTTTAGATACATACCCAGAGACTGTGTATATCCTTACTTGTTCCATTCAAAGTTGTCACAAATGATAATTACATAAACACCAATGTCAGAACAGAAAACAGAATTTGATGGGGAAAATGTTGGTGTAGAGATATTATAACACAATAATTTATTTACTGACAGCTGTTCGCCATGGCCCTTGGATTTTGAATCTTAGCTTTATGTTTTGGCTTTGCAAAAATATTCATATATGATTTCCACTTTCCACCTTTCCAGCCGACACAGTTTCACAGATTCGACTTGGTGAGTTTCTATCCCTTCATAGTTGATATTTGACTTGCTATTGTATTAACATATAGTCTAACAGAAAAGCTTCATAAAATACATCTTGAAACTTTTACAGATACACAGAAACAAAGAGGATCAATATTGAATACTATATGGTTTGGGAATCAAGCACAGCTTGTCCTTCCTTCTAGCGGTAATGCCAAAGGTTTCAGTCAAGTCTAAATCCTCTGGTCTCATTCCATATGGGATTTCCCAATCAAAGTGGTAGAGTAAGCTAGCTAGAGGAAGCTCAATGCTTGCTAAACCAAATGTAATACCGGGGCAAATTCTTCTTCCTGCTCCAAAAGGGATGTACTCAAAGTTTGTTCCTCTGAAATCAATATTAGGATTATTGCCATGGAACCTCTCCGGTATAAACCTTTCAGCTTCATACCAATGGTTTGGATCTCTTCCAATCGCCCATGCATTTACTATAACTTGAGTTTTGATGGGTATGTCATATCCATTAATCTTGCAACTTTCTGTGCATTCCCTTGGGAGCAACAAAGGAGCAGGTGGGTGAAGCCTCAGGGTTTCTTTAATTACTAATTTCAAGTAACTGAGTTTTTCCATGTCACTCTCGTGAATCACTTTCTTTCCTTTAAAAGCTTTTCTAATCTCAGCTTGTGCCTTCTTCATCACTTTAGGATTCCTCATCATTTCTAACAGAGCCCACTCTGTTGTCGTTGCTGAAGTATCAGTTCCACCACCGAACATATCCTACAACAATGATGCCCCCAAATTGATCATAAGCACTCTCAAACCCATATGGCTGCAAAGTAGCCACCTTTTGTGCTGACTCGGCACACACAATATCTTTAAACTTAGTATAAACTCTACGGTAGACCAACACAGTAGATAAAGAGTACTTACCCAGATAACAGCTTTGATGTTGTTGTTTGTAATTGTGATGTCAAGGCTTCCACTTCGCTGGATTCGCAAGAGAACCTGAACAAGATTTTCTTCCCCAGAACCAGTACCGTCACACCCTCCTTCTGCTGATCTGAGCTGCTTCTTCTGATTCTCCTTAAGAATGTCCTCTAAAATCTTGTCTATCTTCTTATGAATCTTCACCAACTTAGCTTCCATCGCAGTTATTATAAGATGAACACGTTTCAATGAAGGGAAGAAATCAACAAAGCGAAACCCAGCCACTTCTATTGCCGCATAGAATAGTTGCAGAAGCTCTTCTTGTTCATTGCCAAATGCTACCCTGGTAACTATAGCACAAGTCAAAGAGTAAATCTTGGCCGTGAGATCAACAACCGAACCTACTGATGATCCCACTGACACTATCAGCTTAGATACCTGGTGCAATTGAACTATAATAAATCACCTGCTACTACTGCTAGAGTATTTAATTAGAAATTGTAATTTTATTGCATATCAGTACCTCATCTTGTCGGATGTAGGAGAATGATTGGACCTTCTTGGCACTCAAGAGCTCTAAAATACATATTTTTTTCATCTGTCTCCAATACTCACCGTAAGGAGCAAAAGCTATGTCTGTTGCTCCATAAGCGAAAATCCTAGCACTAGAAATCTGTGGTCTATGCACAAAGGCAAGATCATGGGTCTTCATAATCTCCTTGGCCATATCTGGAGATGATACTACCACTGTAGAAATCTCCCCAATCTGAAGGCGTATGAGAGGACCGTACTTGAGAGATAGATCACGAAGGGTATGGTGTGGAGGTGATGAAGAACTTGCTGCTATTAATTGGTGAAGGTTTCCCAGTAGGGGAAGCTTCCATGGCCCTGGGATTTCAATCTTAGCTTTATTAATCTTCGGCCTTGCTAGCCCAAGGAAGAAGAATAGTATAAAGAGGAAGGGAACAAGAAGCAAGAAACAGAACTGGGTTTCCATAGCTTCAATTCAAGTGTTCGCTTTTGATTGATACACGTTCAGTACAGACTAAAGTTATAGATATAGGTATACAACCTGCCGTTCCGTATGCAGCTTCTCTATCCAATCTACCGTTCCGCATACAGCTTCTCTATCCAATAGTCTGGTTCATTAGTCTTAGCTTCATAGAGTATACGTGGATCATAACGGTACATGGATGTAAAGTTACATCCACGCATGCAGCAATTGACATTGAGGTGCCGTTTGGGTCAATTCCATGGATCAGGATTGCCTGTACATATTACAGTATCAGCTTTTCATTATTGTTTTTAACTTCCCTGATTTTTGGCCCATTACAATTTATTGGGTCGATCACATTTCTCTCTTCTCGCCTACAGTATTAATTTTAAAACCATGGGGAAAAAATGGAGATTAGAATCCTTTTCCTGATGGATCTTGTCTTTTTTATTTGCGGGCGTCTGTTGGCAAACTCAGCGCGCTCATCAGCGCTTGATGAGCATGAACTTCAAGGGCTGATCGAAATTCTTAATTTTATCTTCAGTTGGTTTTCACTGTCCATTTTAAATTTATTATTTAATATTTATAATATTATATTACTAAAATAAAAATTTATAAAAAATATAAAAATCTTAGTATTAAATCTATACTGTCCAAACTATATTTAGATAATTAATTTATAAAAGTATAAATAATTTTAATATTAAATAGATAATCTAGATTAAACTTGCACTAGCCAAATTGATTATAAATAATTTTATTTAAAAAATTTATAATTGTTATTTTGATAAGTATGAGATAAAAATAAAAAGTTTTAAATTTAGACGATTCAAATCTCATCAACTAAAATGAATAACATGATACTTATCTTCTGTTAAACTTGGAAGACAATCCATATTTAATATTAAGATTTTCATTTTTATACATTTTTATTTTAATAATATAATATTAAAACATTGAAAAAAATAAATTTAAAGTGGATGACAGAGATCATATGATGATAAAATTAAGGGATCAGATAAGCCCTTAAGATGATGAGTATTCTATGCTTATCACACTGATAAGTACTATGGAGTGCGGACGCGCATCTATTATAGGCCTTGAGATTTTCATTTCATCACTTGACTCCCCAAAAATAGTTCTCATCACCACTTTCCTTTGGCTTTTCCACTCCCCTTTTTACCCGTTTAAACTTCAGGAAAATAAATTTTATGCTGCACCTGGATGCATTAAGATTTTCATTTGAACTTTTATTTAGATTCATAAAAGTTTATTTATTTGAAAATAAAAGGAAAGAAATGGAAAACAAAAATAGGAAGAGAACGAAGTAACTAGAATGACTAGATAGGGTATATTCAGTCATGTTCTACAAATAATCTTGTAACCAAAGAACAAGGAAAATCAAAGTTTTTTTTTTTTTTTCAGTTGTGAAATCATATAAACCATGTATTATCATGGAAGAGTGACATAAAAATACTTTTAAAATGGACAAATGACATAAGAATATTACAAAATATAGGAAATATTTAGAAGTATGTAGAAACTTTTTTAATATTTTTTTGAAAAAATATAATTAAAGACCCTTTAAGAACATTAATTTCAATTAAGGACCATAGCATTTTGAAATCCTAGTTAAGGATCATGGTCCTTAATAAGGATAGAAAGAAATGTAGCTTGTGAGGTGAGATTCACTAATGCCACTTAAAAATTCACTAACCTAACTCGAGAAAATTGCTAATGTATATTGTAAAAATATAAAACTAAACTTGCGAATCGATTGTTTAACAAAAAGTGCCACTTGAGAATTCACTAACCAGATTTAAAAAAATTTTTAATGTATATTGTGAAAACATAAAACCTCACTTGAGAATATATTGTTTAACCAAAAAACTCAATTTGGACAAGACATTTTTTGTTAAATAATCGATTCTCAAGTACAATTTCATTTTTTCACAATACACATTAATTTTTTTAAGTCTAGTTAGTAAATTTTCAAGTAACACTTTTTGTTAAATAATCAATTCTCAATTAGAGTTTTATATTTTCACAAACATATGTTAGAAATTTTTTTAAGTCAAGTTAGTGAATTCTCAAGTGGCACTTTTTGTTAAACAAATGATTTTCAATTGGGATTTCATATTTTCACAATATACGTTAATAATTTTTTTAAGTTGAGTTAGGGAATCTCCAAGTGACGTTAGTGAATCTCACTTCACAAACTGTGTTTTTTTATCTCAATTAAGGACTATGATCCTTAATTAAAATTTTAAAATGTTATAGTCTTTAATTGATATTAATGTTCTTAAAAGGTTTTTAATTGTCATTTTTTCTTTTTTTTTTTGGCAAAATGACTTTTCATGAAATTGAAGAGACACATCCATGACATGGCCTAATTGTGGATCAGAGCATCTCTTTTTGGCAACTCCATGCTCAAAAAGAAAACAACAAAATAAAAAATAAATAAGGATGACTGTTTGAAATGAGAAAAGAGTAAAAACGAGTTAAAAAGTAAAAACATGTTTTACCTTGACTCAAAGCCTTTGTACTCTACTTTATTGTATATCACTATCACTGCTCATCCCATTTGTTGCTGTTCTTTTTCCCTTAAACTTCATGGTAAATGAATTTTAGTGCCCGTTTGGTTCATGAAATGAAAGGGAATGTAATGAAATGGAATGAGCATTACAAGATATTTGTTTGGTATGACATTTGGTAGTAGCAAAATAAAATTTATTTTTTAAATATAATAAAATACAAATAAATATAAAAGGACAAAATTGCCCTTAAAAAATTCCTTTCATTCTTTCCAGCGGATGTGTATCAGAGCCATCATCTTCTCGTCTTCTACCTTACACCCAAGCAAGAAATAACCAGATTTTTTCTTCTTCATTCTTGCAAATCCAAAGAAAGGCCGTTGGAAATCCCAAGCAAATCATCATGTTCTTATTCCTTCCCTTTGATTTTTCATCCTTCATTCTTGTAGATACAAAGTCAGTATCAGATCTTGAAAGAAAGGCGATGGAGCTTACGACTGTCGAGATTGATAGTGCCGAGCACGATGACCATCGTGAAGAAGATCCACTGGACGGCACCCATCGTGAAGGAGATTGATGGTGCAAAGATCTCTTCGGCTAAAAGGTTCATCAATCTCACCCCCTACTATGGCCGACGATGTTGCCGGACATGGTGGTGAGTAGTAAAGAACAACAGAGCTACTGGAAAAAGTGGTGAAGGTCGGCGGCAGTGGAGATGGTGAAGAAGAGTCGAAATATTAGGTTGATTTTTTTATGAGCAATAATGTCTTTTCTCATGGATTATAAGAGGTCTGCATCTCCTTTCATGGGGTCTTATTATGTAATCTGGATGCAGCTTTTAAAGGAATCATGATTACATAATGTAATCCCTTTTACATTACATAGGCCAAACCAAACGCACTGAATCTCTAAAATGCATCAGGATCATGTAATCCTGATGCAATGAATTGAACCAAACGTGCTATTATGTTAACTGCTGAGTTTAGATAAACCAAAATTCTATTCAAGCTTTCACCATCTTGATCTAAAAGCAAATTTGGATTTAAAAATGAAAAGAAAGGGAAGGGAAATAAAAATAAAAATAGAGAGGCAATAAAAAAAACAGAGAGAGATAGAGTATTTGATATTTTAAGTAATTAGGATAAGTATAGAGCATATGCAATTGTGATTTATAAATAATATTGTAACTAAATATTTATTTGAAATTAATTGAATTTAATTAGATATTACATGATTTTATTAGCCAATCTTCATTTTTAAGATTTTAACTAACTAAATCTTAAATTTTAAAATATAAATAATATTTTTAATATTTTTACATAATTTTTATTTTATTTTATTTTATCTGTGTAAATTTTTTGAATCTAATTTGAAGGATATTAATGAAGATTATTTTGGATAAAAAAATATTAATATATTTAAAGATCAAGTCAATAATTAAATATTTAAAATTTTTTAAAAATTTATTTTGAACTTTTTAATATAGTTTTTAATTAAAATTATTTAAAATAATTTTATCATTTTATCAAATTATTAGGTTTTACTTTTTTGAGAGACGCACAACTTTTATATAAAGCATGGAGGAACAGAGGACGCATGACTAGAGGATAGAAACAGGGAGTGAACGGCAGAGGCACGCGTGGGGGCAATTGCTCTTTGTCTTTGTCTTTTCTTCAATTTCTCCGGCGATGCTTTTTCTACTCTCAATTTTCACTTGTTCTTATTCAATTTTTAGTCTTATGCAGAACTAATTTTTCTTATATGATCAATCATAAATTCTACTTTTAAATTTTAATTAGAATTTTTAATATTTTAAAAAAATTTATTTTAGCTTTATTTTAATCTGCTCTTTTTCTCTCAATTTATGAATTTATGTTTTAATTTCTATTACTAATTATAATAGCTTTATTACATGATTTTTGAGTTATAAATTTTATCTAAAATTTTATTTGCTATAATAAATTGATATAGTAATATAAGAGCAATTTGACTTGGCTTGAATGATTACTTATACTTTGTTTCTAGTATGGCTAATATAAAACAGTTGTTGAGTTGTGGATTAAGAGAGATTTCAATTAATCTATAGCTTAATTTTTTTTTAATTTTTGAATGATAATTTAAAAATTATATAATAAAATTAGAGTAATAAAGTTAAATAAAATTAATTTATTTTTTGAACGAGAAAGATTAAATTTAGGTGATTGAATTGCGATTAATTGCACTACTTGTGCTAGATAATTTTCTTAGTTGAACTTATTTCAATTATTTAATTTTAATTTTGTTATAAAAAAATCCCCCCATTACTTAGCTTTTTATAATCCTAATTCAAGTCGTTAATCTATTAACTTTTAAAGGGATGACATACGTTGCTCTTTACTATAAAATCTAGTTTTTATTAATTTTAATATTATTTAAAAATAATGTCACACGCCATGCATTCAATAGAGAGCAATGAGTTTTTCAACAGCCAATAGAGCACCATAGCTCTTAGTAGGATAGTAGTAATAGTGTGTCAGCACTTTTCTTTTTAGGTTTTTTTTCATCTTATATTTATTGTAATTTTTTTTATTATTGTCAATATTGTAACATCCAAAAAAGCTTAACCTTAACCTAG